TAACTATGTTATCCATTTTATCTTTAAAATCCAAAAGTTCTTGAACCATAGTCTTGTCTTTTTCTGGATCTATAACTATGGTTTTACCCTTTTTCTATGAAAATTTAAGAAAAAGTGTAATTTTAGTTTTGACAATTTGATGTACATTAAAGCAGTTTTCAAATATAAATATGGTGCATACCTTTATATAGGAATTGAAACTCAAACATAGTTCTACAAGGCCATTCTTAACTCGACTATATAAATTATAAAGTAAAGATAAATCACTAATTCTATTTTCATCCAACAAACCACTTAATCCTTTTTGTAATATGCTGGTAATATGTTCAGATAACAATTGTTTTTCTACTGTATGGATTAGCGACCACCTAAAATATTAAATTGCAAATATCATATGTAAGAAGTATTAAAAACTTAAGTAGAAATAATTGTTACATACTTTGTAGATGCATCAAGATAATGTAACAAACGTTCATTCTCTTCTTGAAGTCGTTTGTCTACATGTGCTAAGTACTCTGGAACATCATGTTCATTCATTAGTCTTTGTCCTTCTGCAGCATATAGTCTTTCTGTAGCTATCAGGAATCTATTAATAAAAATTCAATGAGCAAGCTAGAAAAAAATATTAATCAATCACATTTATGAAAGATTCATACTTGGTGGCAAAGGCATCTTGGTAAATTTGTAGATCTGATAACATTCGTAATAGTGACTTAAGAAGTGTTCTGTCTACTGTATCACCTTGCCGTTCTTTCTCTATAAGCATAAGTAATCCTTCTACTGTACGTGTCTGAACCAAATTGTTCAGAACGATATATACTCTAAATAAATGTAATCCCATATCCCTAAAAATATATTTAAAATATGTAAGACATTAATAACATAAATATTTACAATCAAGTGAATAGTACTTACCAAATGGATAAAATACTTGGATTTTGTAATACATATGTTCTATCCAGGTATAGAAAAATACTCCTAATCATAATCATTTGCCTACAATGTGACTGCCAACACTCATTCATTTTTTTCAAAAATATATGCCTGTCCATGGATTCTGCCAAGAATTGTTCTATATTAGCCTGAACATGAGCTTCTGTTAGCCCTGTCAGTTTTGTATATAATGTAGATGCCATTTTGTGGTTACACATGTTTTCAACAGCCTGGTAAAGTTCTTCTAATGAATAACGAATACTTTTGCTGGTTTGTATGGCAATTACAGCTTCTTGCAACTTCTCCCATGTTTGTTCTTGATAATTTTCTGGTAATTTTGGCTTATCTAAATAAAATTTACCATATTAGAACCAGCATTTCTCCATATTTCCATGTATAAGATTTATTTATAAAAAAACGAAAGTGGAAATAATTTTATTCCTTGTTTCAAACATAAAAGATAATAAAAATCAAAGTTAAATTTATATTTGAGTAATATGCATCTACTTAAAGATCATTACAAAAATAGTTCGTTTATATTTATTTTTGCATTAGTCATACGGAAGAGGGAAACGAAGCCGTGTAAGCGGACATCTTAAATCAATTACACAATCATAGGAAATACGAAAGTTCTGGAAACCGTACAAAAAACGAACAAATAATGCGCCTTAAGAACATTTATCCATTTTTAGTTCTATTCAATCTTCGGGTTAGGTTATGTTAGTCTCGTATTGTTAATCCCTATCAGAATGATTTTATCCTTCGCTCAACGAATAAATACGCATTATGAAAGAAATGTTGCAATCCTCGATGGCACAATGCCAACGATAAATTCTATACAGAATGAATCTTGTCGCTAATCATCACCAGCTGACTTTGAGGTTAGGTGGTCCTGTGATGTCGCTTACTTTTGAAGTTTTTGATGACAAGCTTTCTGGCAGTGCCCGTCTTCGCACTTGCCAAACTTGGTGAAATGACGCCGTTTGGGTTCCCGACGGTCAATGCCGAGAAATTAGCCCTCTTCTGCGTATCTGTCGCGGCCGCGGCTGTGTCCGTCATGTTTTCAATCCCGTCGATCCCCGTGACCGGAACGGCGGACAGCTTGCTGCGTTTCGCAGCACCGACGTTCACCAGCGCTGCGTGATCGGTGGCTGTCCTCTTCACCTGTGCTGTAGAGGCCAGAACCTGAGTCCCTCCAAGCCTAGACATATGCGTGCATTACTCGGTCGCCGGTCCTCAGCACTCGGAAAACACAGTTTTCCACCGAGAAATCCACAACCGATTCTCCCACTACCGTTCTACCTTTGTCCCTGTGCGTTCTAACAAGCGGAAAAAACTTATTTATCCACGAATACTGCTCGCGACGAGACTCTTGCGAACAATTGGCGATCGCTGCGCACGCGTTTCGCGCTTACCCGGCGCGCTCCGCGTGTTTACCGCGGATCTTAAATCTTAAACTGTTTTTCCTCCTTTCTACGTCTTTTGCATTTTATAAAAAAAAACTTTAATTTGAATCGGACAAATATTACACTTATAAATACATTTTGTTATGATCTTTTATTTATGTAAGTGTAATAATATTTTTTTGGTTAAGTCTTTGATAAGTCGATATGTACTCCGTTTTTAAAGGTATTAATTTGTGAAATCAAAAATTCAAGAATTACTGTTACACATTTTAATTTATTACTTTTTCGTATTATGGTGAGGTTATTTTAGCTAATAATATTATATAAAATGTAAAAAAAGATATTTTTTGTAATGTATTAGAAATTTATTTTACCCAGATTTACATTCAATCCTCT